TTTTTATAACTTTTGCTTTCTGGTCGTTTTCCAAGATAATCTTAATTGCTTTCGGTAAAAACTGAATCAAATTATTTGGTTTTTGTGCCAAATTCGAAGCTGAAAAGGGTTTTCTAAAGTTCCCTGCAAACCAATGACTGAGGCGAATTTTGTTGCAAAATTAATTTTGTCATTTTTGGCTGAAGAGACACTATTATTGTCAGAAAAGAAAAAAATCATACAAAAATAATGGTTTTTGGGAGGTGTTGGAGGAAACCTTACTGATTTTCGGAAAACGGGAGGAATCTATTTTCGTTTTTGTCACCAATGCGATGCTGAAAAGTTTTTGTTAAATTTTTACAAAGCTATAAAGTATTTTTAAGTTTTCTGAAGTTCCCTTCAAACCGATGAATGAGGCGAATTTTCTAGCAAAATTAAATTTGTAATTTTTGCCAGAAAACACCCCATTATTGTCAGAAAGAACAAAATCATCAGGGAATAATGCTTTTTTGCGTTTCGACTTTTAGTTTTGGAGAAAACCTTAATGGTTTTCGGGAAAAAATGGGAGAAATGTATTTTAATTTTTGTCCCGAATTCGACGCTGAAAAAAGGTTTTGTAAAGTTTTTGCAAAGTTATAAATCTATCTTGTAATTTTTCGCAAAACACTCCTGCAGATCCACAGAATTTTTAAGTGAAACTCTACAAAATAGAGCGTTTTTGAGTAGAAAGTAAAGCAAAAAAAATTCAATCAAAACTATAAAACCACATTTTTTAAGAAACTCTACAGTCATCAGAGGTATGGGGGTGACGAGATTTCCAAATAATCTGGTATAAACTTTCGCTTATTCTGTTCGTTTTTTGATACAAAATTATTTGCTTTTTGTTTCGAATTCAATTCCGTTTCAAATTCGAATTCGTTCCAAATTCAAAGTTAAAAAGGGATTTCAAAACTTTTTACAAAGCGAAAAAATTTATTTCATCTTTTTGACGGAAAATACCTTAAATTTGCCAGCATTTTTAAAGTAAACCAGAAAGTTCAGCATTTATGAGAAAGAGTATCTTGGCTAAAACTGTAAAATTGTGAAATGTTGAAGAAATTTTAAAAATATTATTACTAAATGACCCCTAAAATAAATCTAAGAACAAGTACAAAAAGTCATCAATATTTTCCCGGCAACGGAACTGTGTTACTGCGCCGGTGCGTTGGGTTGGCGCACCAAGCCATTTGCGTAGCACTGCGCCAAATCCTAAAAATTCACTGAGTTACACAAGCCTACCACATATAGAGCCTACTTTGCACTACAAAACATTCCCGAATGTGAATCGCCAGCTATACTGGAGCAAAATCCAAAGCATTCAAAAATGTCTCAAAAATTGCTTCACGACTCAAAATCAACACTTTTACGCATCTAAAACGCACGTGGAATATTCGTCCCGACAGAAAAGGTATCCGAAAGTTATTTTTTTCTTTATTCCAACCACCGATGGGCCAAGTACAGACTAAGCAAACCAGCACAACAATAAATTGGAGGCCGTGCACGTACTAAATGTGCAATGAACGAAGCGGTGGATATGCGATCTGGTTTATCGTGAATGGGCGAAAAGGCATTGAAAAACTAGAGATTTTTCCAGAGCTTTTTCCATGAAATGTCCTGATAATTGACTCATTTAAATATTGGCAAATCCTGCTAGTTAATCTGTACACGCAAAATGGGTTTTTAGGTCATCAGCTGCAACAAGAACATCTGCACTTTACAAATTACGGACACAACAGGATCTCATCAATTTCCAGCTATGCAACGACTCTCTATAAGCAAAGGTATCAGCTCGGACTTCCTAAAAAATCTGTTTTCAGAATCTAAATGAATATGAATGGTGTGTTTTAGGTCATGCCTTCATTCTCGTCTTCTCGGTGTGCAGTCGTCAAAGTTTGGAGGAACTCAAGCCCATTTACGAAGTAATAAAAGAACTAAAAGGACCAGATTTAAGCCAAATCCCCATTATGCTAACAGGAAATAAATGCGACGAAAGCGCTGAGCTCAGAGAGGTAAAATGGAGCAAAAATTACAAAATTCAGTGTTGATTAAATCCTGATTTTCCTGTAGGTTTCGACCATTGATGGGCAAGCACAAGCGGCAGAATGGGGGGTGAGTTTCATGGAAACTTCAGCCAAAACCAATCACAACGTAAAACAGCTATTCCAAGAATTGCTGAATTTGGAAAAGTCCCGAAATGTGAGCCTGAACGTGGGAGGTAAAGCAAACAGTCGCGTCGCTAAAGACAAGTGTGAGATCATGTAAAACAGTAAAAAGGTTTGATTTAGTCACATTTTCCATTTTTTTCTGTTCTAACGAAGAATATCAACGCAAAGTTAAAAATCAGTCTGCGACAAGAAGCAATAAACAATTCTTTTTTGCTAAACCCAACACGTGAAATTCACGTCTTTTTACATCGCCGGATGGTTTTTCTAGTAATAGTTAATCATCGTAAATGTAAATCATTCCCCTTTATCGAAAAATATTGAATGTTGTTATGCCCCTATAGATGTTGTGGCTTAGGGGGTAGGATGTGCTTATTGTTTCGGGGATTTACCGAAAATCAACCATATAGCTTCGCATTTACCAACTTTTCATTTAGTAGAAGCTCCAATATTGAAACTTCCGTTAGATTTAAAATCGGATGTTTGATTTCCAAGCATTTCATCGAACTAGAGCCTTTCCACACACACCAAACGTTGATTCATTTCTCCTTAATCGAAACATTCCTAATTTACGAATTTCGTCACGGATAGCATATCAATAATTGTAGAATTGACATTTAGTGTTATAGATTTAGGTAATCTTAAGGCATTGCTATCTGAAAAAGTGCTTTGCGATCGATTTTACTAAACGTTATGTACCTACCTACATATCTTGAGTGAAACTTGCATATTTTTGTATTAGATTTTTTATTCATATATCCCGAAAGAGCATGTAGAATTTTGAGCAAATTTAACCGAGGCTGGGAAGTAAGGAATATATTCAAAACCATTTGACCCATTTTTTACGGTTCCCTGGTTGAATAATTCCAGTAACTTGCTCTGCACATAAATATTGATTCTTTGCTTTAAACAACAGCTTTTATTTTTTAAGAGCTAATGTAAAGAAATGGTGTAATTTACTTTGCCTATCTTTTCTGTTCTTCACAGAAGTGGCGCTTAAATCCCAAATACCCTTTTTCCATTCAACTGTTTTGCTAAAATATACCGGGTGTTTTTTAATAATAGCCCGATATTTCTCCAACTAGAGGGTGTAAAAAATTAATTTTGGGTTTTTTAAGTATTTTTATAGATAATGTCGACATTTGGACGAAACTTGGTATTTAGGGTACCATGAAGAACTTAAATTTCTGTTTGATTTTGCATTAAGAGCATTTAGAAGGCGCTACCTACAAGCCTTCCGTTTTGAAGGGTCATAACTTTTCTGTGCATGCTTGTATCTCATTTTTCGCAATAAAATCAATTCTCGTATCATTTTGACGCAAAAAGCATTCTTATCAAAACTAGCTAGAAGCAACCGTTTTCGAGATATTTTGATCTAACTAACGACGCATGTATTTTTCATTTTCTGTACGCAAAATCAAGATAAAATTTAAGTTTCCATGTTGCGAAACTCCAACTACCAAGTTTCGGTCAAATATCAACATTTAATCAAAAATCCTACTCAAAAACAACAACAAAAAATAAAAAAATTAAGTTGACTATTTTTATTTTTTGCCGTTTATCTTTAAAATTCCCGAGTAATTACCATGTATACTAACAGCCGATAAAAAAAACATTAAATATATCCCTTACTTACTAACTTTACTCAGTACTGTTTCAGACGAAACTCGTAAATTCTAAGCAACAAACCAAGTAGAACCTGCCCTTAAAGGCACAGATTTAGCTAACTAGAAAAGCCGAATTTTCCGATGCAACATCAAAACTGCATCCTCACCAAGCATATCTCAGTAAAACTTTCTAAAAAAGCGTTTTTTTGGTTTTTTCTAGTACGTAGTAGAAGTACATCGTGAAAGTGAAAAGGGCGATCCAGCACACAAAAATAAGTAGAGAAAAACAAGGATTACTTGCAAAGTTCTACCTCTTAGTCCCGGCGTGTGTGTAGATTCGAACATTATTCAAATTTTTGGTGATTTTTTCGGAAGCGAGTAATTACCAAAAATATTCATATTGTTACGAGCCTACACGGACGCCCGCTCTAAGCGGTAATGCACTTTGCAAGTAAACCTTATTTTCTAGTAAGTTTTATCACCTTTTTCACTTTGGGCATAACAAAATCGCCCTGCATATATAAATATCAGTTGAAAGTAAAGTGGACCACAAATTAAATAAATGAAGAATGAGCCAAAGCCCTTTTTCAGACCAATTTTTAAATATTAGACTGAGTGCTATATGCAAATATTGTTAGTGTTATTAATTTACAATGTTGATGGTCCAATGCTAAGCTCGATGATTCTGCAGGAAAAGCCGCATTCTGATCGAGCAATTGATTGGCTTAAATATTGTAAGTTTAAATCGTATTTGTTATATTCACGCTTTATAGTGTTCACTATATGAACTGCAATTGTGATCCGATTTATAACGTATTTATGCAACGAAGTTTGTTAAAAATGAAAATGTTAATAAATATTGGTATAGGCGATTTTAACAAAATGACTTGGGCATTTTCAAGCAAGACTCGCGTGCTTTCTGTGGCTTCTTTCGATCCAAATCAGTGAGATTAGTGGCATTTGGACCAAGATATTTCCTTATGGTAGACGTAGGCCACGCGGTTGGTAGAAATTATTAAGTTTGCTAAACCATAGATAAAAACTGTTTGTTTGGATAGAAATGGAAGCGTCTATGCCGAACCGGGGGCATTTTGGTCTTACTTGGATTTGCCTGAATGTGAAACTTTTCATACCTGAATATTAGATTTTTGCTCTCTAGGCGCTATTTTCGCTACTTCCATCAACTAAGAAATCTTGCAATTTTTCTCTGTTTACTATTTTCCACACTATCAACTAGACAGTGTTACATTTCCAATGCATCCATTGCGGGCCAAAGTCGTAAAGAAAGTGGAATTTTTGTCAAAAGGTTCAATGATTAGCAATAAAATGCTTAAATTTATTTCCATTTGCCACTATAGACCATTTTACCAGTTGCCAACAACATTTTTAACTATTGGAAAATGAACAGGGGCGGTTTTTTAAGTGTCTCGTCCCTCGTCTAATTATTCGCTTTTAATGTCCGACTGCCGACGTTTCGCAGATTTCGCACTGCCTCATCAGGATATTAGATGTCAAACCATTGTCTGTTTTATTGGAAACCGAAATTTTGTTCAACAGGAAACGCACATTTAGAATAAAATGTTGCGTAAGAAATTTGCCAAAATTAGGAAGAAAAAGAATTAAAAAATGGTCAAATTTCCCTTCATCTCCATGTGGAAGAAACAATAGTCTATTGTTAAGCGAAATTACTTATACAATTGTTCGATTGTTGCTTTTAGTGTTTTTAGCTCGTCAAAATGAAAGTAAAAACTATTTACATGAAGGAGAAACACTCGAGTCGAGTTAATTTTTTTAACACATTAGAAGTCATATTTTATAAAATTGAATAAATAAAGTATCGCCTTTTTCAAAAAAACACTTGTATCGTCTGGATTTTCTCCAACTCAAAAGGTCGATTGTATTTGGGTGGGCATTTAAAAGGTCTTTTAAATTTTTTGCTTGCGCTCAATTGGCTCAATTTTCGACATCGCTTCATATTTCAACAGACGCATTAAATTATATGTCTGTACTTAATAAAAATAATAGTTTCTGTTTTTATAAAGTTTGCAGCTTTTTTCGTTACGCTTGCAAACATTTGAAAGAGTTATTTTCCTTAACAAGTAAACCAGTGCATTAAAAAAAAGTTAAAAAGTTGCAGTTTACCAACAATTCATAAAAATTCTACGCAAAGCAAATCACACAATTGTTTGGTGAAAATTGGGAAAATTTTTCGAATCATAAGTTTTTGAGGAAAACAACTGTTTTTTTGCAGGAAAAGCGAAATATTCTATTATTTTAGGGACATTTAGGACAAATAAAATAATTTAAATGGCTTTAAATTTATCTGCCCGAATGTACAATTAAAGCTATTTTAGCTTTGAGAATTTCTAACTTCAATATTCTTTAAACTTCAAAAAAATCAACATTTCAACTGGATTTACAAGAAAACCAGCAATGGGAAAAGAAACAAATTGGATTTCTTCCTTATTTTATTTATATATAAAAAAACAATTGGACGAGTCTGCTGTTTCTTCCTCATTGTAGATTCTTCATTCTTCTAAAGTGTCATTTTTGCGTTTTTCTCGTTCATGTTTTTTGGCATAATAAGATTCATGATAAAAAAAAGTTTTTTTCACTGCGTCTTTTTTGGCGCACTTCTGCGCGTTATTTGTAGAAATTCAATAATTGTAAATATTTCGAAAACATGTACGTTTAGTACCTTTACAATATGACGAACACAATTTTGAAACAAACTGGATAAAGTCTTATTTACTCTATGGTTGGGACACCCTGTATTTTTGCAACTCTGCCCTCCAGTGGCCAGTTTTGAACTGAGTTTCTAAATTACACACTTAAAAAAATGTTTCGCCCTAAACGTTCTCGATATACACAGTGGCAAGTTTTAGTGAATTTTTATTTTTGGGCACATTTAATAGACAAATAGCAACCGGTGTGAGACACTTAAAAGAACTTCCCTCTACCTACTAGCTCTATACATATAGTGTTTCCTTAAAAATTGTTATTATATAGTGAACTTATGGAACAATTTGTATACTTGTAGATAATTTCCTTACTGTTTACTCAAAATTTGAATTTATTATTATAAACCTTATTCTTACCAACATTTTGCCTTGTTCGTTTTCAACTAGTTTATTCCTCCCTGGCGTTCGAAATTTACGAATCGACGCGGCAACGATGCCAACCAGATTATCTAGAGGTTCTCGACAGCTGTGTTCCACGGTTGAGGGTTCCACGGTTGAACCAGAATATTCGAGCGCTGCCAAAAGTGGGCGTGGCACGCCTTAGTTAGTGTCAATTTTTAGTCTTTTCAATTCAAGCTTTAATTTAAGTAGATATTTGACAAAGTTTATATCTAGATGGGGCAGTTGCAAATCACACTCATTGCATATTTATTGATTTTTGCATCCTAGTAAAGCTTATTTCCGGGAAATTATAGCCTTATATAGCCGATATATTAATACATATTTTCTTTCTTTTCTTTCTCCCAGAATATTTTTTTTGCAGGTAAACGAAAAATTTTAAAAATGTCCGAGATAATTATAACAAATTCCTTTTCCTATTACCTGAGAAAAATCCCTAGAGCTAGGGAAAGATTATCTAGTACGACATCACTGATTCGGGGTACCGCTGTTTGTCTATGCACATACTCTGTTATAGTATGTCATTGGTCTAAACGTTCAACGTCATCGGGTACGAGTTGCCATCTATTGAAAGGTTAATCTACCTAACCCAGACCCTAACCTAATAAAATGCGATTTGTTCAGTTGATTATACATCTTGAGCATATATATAAGACTAGCAGGATTAAATATGTGTTCTCAAGGAATTTCACAAGAGCAAAACGAAAAGGATACGATTTTTGCACTAAATATAATGGATTTTACTTAAAAGCCAGATTCGATTGTTATTGTTCTCTGAGTCCCGTTATTAACGCACAGAGGGCGACATCATAGGCTGACACTATGGACGTCCATTGGGGAGCCAAATGCTTCTCAAAAATCAGACAAAGATTGGCTGCCGTAGAGTTAACTAGCTTGGTGCAGTGTGTTAAAGAATAAAAATTGTTCGACAAAATTAGTGACTAATTGACCATCGATCTACTAGCAGTGGTAAGTAAATAAGGGCGTGGTTTGATTAAAACTACTTCGAAAATTAGATGAAATGCGTACTCCGGTCTACCTCCTCGGCAGATGAGCAATTTGCTCGATTTTTAAAGCGAAGATTTTGACTGAACTAGAGAGCTATGTTGCCTAGTTGCACAATTTTCCAGCAAAGCGTTGCGTTGGTCGCTTTTAATCTCCGAAGTTTCGTTTGTTCCACTGTTCAACTTATGGGTTCTTCCTTAAGAGTTTATTTTTATTTGTGGCTTTTTAAATTCGAAACGATCGAATGGGGGTTTTAACCAAGTTTTAGAACAAATTTTCCCTGTCACTAATAGCTCCATGCCTCTGGAGCAGTTTCTATTAATATTTGATCAGTAGATTTATATAAAAAAAAATTGCACAAAAAGGAATGTAAACTACAATGCACATATACAACCAATTTTGCCTCGCACGTTGCGTTAATATTAAAGTGTCAAAATTTAACACTTACTGTCCCCCACTTTTAGTGTCTGAACTTAATAAAAATATTGCAAGTTTTACACGTTATTCATCAGCTGCCTTTGATAGTGTTTTGCAGTTTACATTATGCACATACCGGGTGCCTAAAGTAAGATTGAATCTAAATTTGCCACGTTGCCGCCAGTCGCTCAATGTCTCGTGGCTCGGGACAAGCATTTTATCAATAGTTCGACGAAAAACGCCATTTAGGAAAAGGTGCTCATGTGCTTGTATCTGTCGGAGTTTCGGGTTCTTTGTAATTTTCTCTTAAAGTACCGTAAAAATAAAGCGGTGAAAAATCAAAAATATTAGCAATGAAAGTATATTTTATTCCATTTACATATAACTTTCTGTGTAGTCTGGCAACGCTGCGCAAAGTTCTGGGTAAATATGGATATTTTATTGGTTTTTAAATATTTTCTAGCAAGATTCTATGAATGATCCTCATTTTTTTTCACTCAAACTATTTTAATTTAAGTGTACTTTAAGGAAAAATGAAAAAGAGCGCAAAACCCCGACAGGCATAAAGTACATGAGCACCAAATGTTGCTAGTGCAGTGTCATTTTAAAAGTATTTTTTATTTTCCTATATATTAATACCAGTAAAATACATGGCGACTGCGACAGATCCTCACCTACTTCCTTGTTAACTCAACTGATGAGAGCTAATAGGTCTGGTGGAAGTGCTGGAAGTTACTAGAGTCTCCCAACGACTACTCTGCAGCCGACGGTGTTGCCTAGTTGCTCAATAATACCGCAAACCTTGTCCCAACCAATCCTAGTGTATATTATTATTATTTTTATCTGATTAACTTCTAGTTCTTTGTTAAGATGTATTTTTGCTTGTCGTTTTTCTCCATTACTTTCACTCTGCGGGGAAATTGAGTGTGGTTTAAACTAAATTAAGCACGTTATTTCAAGGAAATTTCCAACGATTTCATCACAGGGTTTACGAAAAACGCTCGTTTTTTAATAAAAAGCCTTCCAACTGTGTAGTGTACATTCACAATATTAGTATTGTTGCTCCCGTTTTCCGTGTATAAAAATATTAGCAAGTTGTACAAATATTGCATCAGCTTCAATTCAAAGGTAATTAAACATTTTTCGATTATTTGGAAAGCATTTGCGAGAAATGCTGCATTATTTTTCTTCCTTGAAGAGAATTCTACTTTAAAAGTAGAAAAACACGAATTTTTCTCGTATTAAAGACTTTGTTTTGGACGTATACATTTGACTCTGAAGAGGCGGCTAATTTTTGTACTCAACTGCACTCTTACCTTTAAAAATTCACGCCTTCCAACCCAAAGCAAGTAGCAATATGAAATTTTTCTGGCACTTAGAAAACATTTGGCTCTACAAATGTTTAAAGTTTTACACAAATAGCGCGGAATCCTGATTTTTACTGTGTCAAATGTGCCCCCTTTAAAAATTTACATTTTCCCATGTACCTGACCCTGAAAGTTTCATACAAATCGCCCGGAATTCCGATTTTTTAATAATGGATGGTTACTAGACTATGCTCTCTCGCATCTTCCTAACTAAAGCAAGTACGAACTACTCAGCCTGATAGTTGATAAACCGCTGAGAATTCGGGAAAAGTGAAAAGAATTATTTTTCGTCCTTTGCACAAAACATATCTTGGCTTCCTCCCCAGTCCATACCAGTGGACTTGGGGCAATTTTCTTGAATTTGATGTGCTATACCGACTATTTTGCAATGGCAGGTTTTTTTTATTTGCAGTTACATAAGGATGGATGGTTTTGCAAAGGTGCTGAATTCTCCCAAACTCCTCATTAATCGGAGCACTGGAAATACCAAAATGAAGGATGGGGTTAAGAAACGATTTTTTAAAGATCGTGGCTGTCGAAAGCGATCCAAAAGGTATTTCCTGCTCCTAAATTGATGAAATGATGATGGTTGATTGGGATTTAATGGATTGCGTTTTGTTTTCAGCTTTTCCGGTAGCGGGATTATTAATTCCAAACCAGTACCGCCAACAAAGTTTCTACTTGGCGGAAACATAAACGATCCATTAAACCTCGGCAGTCTTCAAAATGCGGACATTAATCGGGCTTTAAATACTTTTTCTCCAAAATGTTCTCCATTGCCCACGCCCCCAAGGAGAAAACTGCCGATTGAAGTAACAAACAATAACAATAATAAACCGTTATCGATTATTCAATTGTTGATATCTTCTAGGTAATCGTCTCCCCAAACACTCATGATCCCCTTCATCTAATGGACTGCGTTAATGAGAAGGATTATGAGGAACAACTGTCTTCACCAGTTAAGAAAGGTAGTATTCAGGGGATTTTCAAGCAATTTCCGAATTTTTCCGTTTTATTTTCAGGCAAAAAAAAGCGATTCAAAAAGCGGCGCACAATGTCGGCATCGGCGGAAGGTTGCGTGCCTGATCACATCGACAATATCGAAGCCAAAACACCGGAAGCCTCCATGGATTCAGCCAAAATACCTGAAGATCCCGAAAATATTAAAATTGGAGTTACTGTCGATAACCTCCAAGATAAGCCGAAGAAAAAGACAGTTACCATCAATTTGAGTAACGGTCCGAAGAAGTTTAAAAATACCATGGATAAAATCGTCAGTCCAGTTGTTCCACAACCTGGCGCCTGGCTGAAACGATCGATTTCAACCACGTTTTCCCGGCCTCCGCAAAACAAAGTCAAAGATCAAGCCATTCCACTATTCAAGGAAAAAAACAAGCGATTTCAGTATGGCAACTATAATAGGTAAGGTAGTGTTGATTTTATCAGTTCACACACGTTCATTGCTGTTGCTTTTCAGGTATTACGGATATAGAAATCCTAATAATGAAGTAGATTATAGGCTCAAAGTTTTTGGGCATCATTCGCACATTTTCGAAAATAAAGACATTTTGGATGTGGGTTGCAACATCGGCCACATTACTTTAAGTGTTGCCAGAGACTTGAACGCCCGCACTGTAACCGGTAATTGTTTCTGGGATAACTCCTAATTTGCTATTCTAACGTATTTTTTTCTATGCAGGTGTTGATATCGATCCAAAGCTAATTAGTATAGCACGAAAAAATATTAGGTATTACGTTAAAACCTCATTAAACTCACCGGCTAGAATGGAAAATGTCTCAGTTTCTAATAGAGCAACTTGTAAAAGTAATAGTGAGTTTTTTCCCATATCAATGCCTATATTATATGGACCTATTGACATTCCAGGATTCCATGATATTCAAGGCACGGACTTTCCGAAAAATGTCACTTTTAAACAGGTAAATTGCAATTTGTACATACTTTCCTGACTGTGTTTCAATTCCAAATCGTTTCGGTGTATTTTTCCACCATAATCAGTTTTTATGTGTAGCGTTGTTGCTACTTTAAGCCTTGGCATACATTTTCTGAATCGGAAAATGTATGCCAAGGCTTAAAGTAGCAACAACGCTACACATAAAAACTGATGATGGTGGGAAAATACACCGAAACGTATTTCAATTGATAAATAGAGACAATAAATGACTGAAATCCAGGAATTAATTTCGATTTGGTAAATTGCAATATATATACTCCTGGTTCAGCAGCGATTTCATCATCAACCAATGCGAATACATGCAATGTTCGTGTTTCAATCTCCCTGTTTTTTCCTTTGTTGAAAACGCCAACGGGAGGCGAATTACAAATCAGGGATGTAAAATTTAAAAAATCAAATGTTTGCAAAAAATAAATTAGTTATTTTATTAAACATTTTTTGGGAAGTAAATAATACAAAGTTAGTATGAATTAAACATTGCTGTTATCGTTATCGTTTGCCCCCTACTAACAAAATGTGATTTCTCGTTGGCAAATTTTCATAATCTGAGCGTGATGTACGAAGTACCACAGTTTCATGCAGCATTGGTTAGAAACTGTTGAGTTTTTCGAACTTTTAGGCCGTAGTGGACAAGAGGTGGTTTGCTCGGCGCAGCACCACTCTGAAGACGTAAGCCACTCATGCCACACGACGCCCTAAAAGCACGAAGATCTCATAACTCACCCAATGCCAGCCGAAGTTCTATTTCTAGTACAATCTGAACTGTATTTAGGGCGTAATACTGTACAAAATTCTGCATGACCCTGATAATACTAATACTATTGAAGAGAAGTAGGGCTTTGAAACTGTAGGTGAATACCGTTATAGTATGTAGACCATTTTTGCACATTATTTTTTAGTGTAACTACGTTCCAGAAGACGAATCTTTGCTCTGTTTAGAGCAGCCCCAATTCGATGTGATACTCTGTTTGAGCATCACGAAATGGATTCACTTGAACTGGGGCGATAAAGGTATTAAATTGACATTCCGCAGAATGTTTGAGCAATTGAGGCCGGGGGGGAAGCTAATTTTAGAGCCCCAGCACTGGGCAAGTTACAAAAGTAAACGGAACCTTACGGTATGTTTTTTTCTGTTTTGGACTACTACTATCGCACCTTAGCCACTTTCTGCATAGGTAACCTGCATGGTTCTATTCTAGCCACTCCCTATCCTATGTTGAACTTGTAGTGCTTTTAACCAGAAGCTCCTAGTTTCAGCAGCTGCTTTTTCATACACTGTAAGTTCTCAAATGTGTGTGTTTTTTTTAGGAAACCATCTATCAGAACTACAAGTCGATTGACTTCTTCCCCGATAAGTTCAGCGAATATTTGCTTTCACCCGCGGTAGGATTTGCTAAAAGTGAAATATTAGGGTATCCATACCATAAGAGCGCTGGATTTCGGCGACCCATACAGGTTAGTTGCGATTAATTAGTCTGTTTTCAATTGGTCAATGTTTGGGCGTTTTAGGTGTTTACGAAAAGTACCACGTTTCTTCCTGAGAGGAGTGAAAGATGCGAAGCAGCGCCAAGTACGGAACACGACATGCAATCGGGTAAGTTACACAAAAGTTGACTAAGAAAACCGTTTTTACGAACGTTTTTTGTTACAGACGAAGTCGATTTGGAAAGCCATATAGAGAAACATGTGTATGCAAGCTTGACGCGGTCGAATGGTCGTTTTTGCGAGGATTCTCAAGATCATTCACCGAGTTTATCTTGCCAGTCCGTTGACTACAGTAAATGTAGCCCCGATTCAACTACTGCGGACACCCCAACTGATTAGAATTATAGGAAACTCGATTTTGTACAGTGTAAATATGTTTTGATAAAAACATTTTTTTTGTAATTTCCTTTTGTAGAATCTACATATTAAAAGGACGTTCTGGTATAGCAAACATATTGTTTTATTTACTTTTCCTGTCCAATTTTCGAGTTGAAATTGAACATTTGGGTGGTTTTTTCCGATGCCTAAAGATGAAAAGCGCCATATCTTCGATACGGTTAGAAATATCCAATCAGTCGTTAGAATCTTCGCGATTGCTGAAGGAGATAAAAGCAGAAATATGAAAATATTTTGGGTCCAAGAGGTTTTGGACCAGAAAAACAAACAATGCGTTTTTCTGGTCCTTTCGTTAGCTCGCCTAAATTATGCATTAGTTAATTGATTTTTTCGTTCTTTGAAACGTGGCGACAACAAATGATAATTTTGTTAAAATTGGCTTTGATTTTGATGCCGGTGTTTTTTTTAGTTAATACGTAGATACAAAATATATTGAATTTCAAGTTTCAAAAATATTGAAAATGAATACGCATTTAAACGGCGTGGCAAAAAACACTTTGAGAAAAAATGCCTGAACATTAGCAAGTTTTGCGCTCATGTAGGTATTTATTTGGCAAAAATTTAAGATTGTGCCTTGAACTGCGCTACGAAAGGTCTCGTCTTATCCCCACCAAGCTTAAAACTAAAAAAAAACCGAAAATTCCAATGAAGAACTTTGTCAAATTGAGCAGGATTTGCAGGATTGCAGCAAATTGAGCAGACAAACATGCTCTGAGCGCGGTTAAAAAAACACTAAATCACTAGCCAAATGCGATAAATAGCAGGCTCGTTCTTCAATGATTACGCGATTGCATTTATCTGAAGACTTTATTTTTTGCGGACAGATAAAAAAATATTGCGAGCCCAAAACAGTATCTACAGCATTTTCCGCAGCCCTCAAAAATATAGCAACAATAGAAACTAGTTTATTGCCTTGCAGGATCGTCTATCACACAGGAGCAGGACAGGAGACCGATATGTAGAGGGTCGTTGTGCACATGCAAGAATTGAAATATGAAAGTTCAGCTATAAATAGTTTAAATATTCAACAGGTTCTATTTTAATCCATCACAGTGATGCCCAAGTTCTTTGTGGCCTGGTTATCGAACTTGTCCATTGTTTTGATGTCCATTAGAGCGGTCAGCGCCACAATCAGCCCCAAGCCTGCAAACATCACAAGTTTCAGCTTCAGCTGGGAGAAAACCGTTGAAAAAATACCTAAAATAGTGGTAACAAAAAGCCCAGACCAAATGGGGGCAGTTGTAAATGGGACACAATCATTAGCGTCTCCAAATTTCGGTTTTTTGGCGTCGATTTGCACTTGGAGGTCGTAGATGGTCAGCTTGGTGCCAGTGGTGGGGTCTGAAAACACCGACTGTCCATTGCAATGGTAGGAGAAATGGGCAGGAGCCAATATATTCTCATCGGTGGTCAAAGTGTAGTAGCTCGGCTTCCCTTCCGACTCCCCAGTGAGTTCCACCTTCACCGTCTGCATATACCTGAAAACGTATGTCAGTAAATCCCTCCAGTAGGGGCCTTTGGAGGTTTACCAATAGCCATTGATCCAGGAAATGCCGAATCTCAAATAGACTTTCTCCTCCGTCCCCAGAAGGACTGGGATGTTGAAGCGTTTGCTCAAAGTGATCAAACTGTTATCGGTGTTTCCCAGATATTTAACGCTGTTGTTCACCTCCAGCTTCAGCGGCTTGGATGAATACAGCAGCGCGTATTGGTTGTTCTTTTTGCTTAAATCCGTCTCGCTGATGTAGATAACTGGACCTGTAAAAGACGAGTAATTAACCAGTAGTTAAAGTAGTTTTCTTAAGCATCCTGCCTTTGACTTCCGCCTGCGTTCTGTTGGTTGCTTCTTGATCATCCGCAGCCCTTTTGCTCCTTATTCGGGGGTAGGTGACGTCGAGGACGCACAAAAAGTCCGTGGCATTTCCCACTTTCTCCTTAATCTTCAGTTGGGTGGTGATCCCATTGCAATCGTCCAATAGGGACAGTTCTAAAACATCCACTAAGTGCTTTGGGTGGCTTTCTTTATCCATTGTCCCTACCTGTAGCGTTGGCTGTTGCAATGTTTCCATTCGGATTATAGGAGGAGTGGTAGGGCTCAATCACTTCCCGCAGGTTTTTAGGAATAGGGGCCGTGCTAGTCTTCAAAGCCACCCTAAACAAAAACACATTCTTTACCTCTAGTTTGGAGGCGAGTTTCTCCAGGTCGTCATCGTCAAACGGTAGCAAAGGCGACACTTCCACTCTCTTGTTACTCCAGACAATTATCGCAGCATTTAGGGAAAGGATTTTGAGGAAAACGCATAAAGCGGTGCGTTTGATATGCATTTTCCTTGTGCGGGCGAAATTTCCTGCGCACGCCACTAGAAATCAATATTTCCACCGGGAAAGCCACCCCCGTTTTCTTTAATATCAGGCGGGGATTTTGAAGCTCAAATGGCAAAACCAGCGAAAACTTGTCAAGTTCTGGCAGGTTGTCTCATTTATCTTGGAAGTTGTCATATGATATTGTTTTCCACTGCCAGGGACAAACAATCGGGTTTCAACTGCATTTAGCTTGGAAAACGGAAAACTTGGCTTTCCCAAACCAATAATTACTTGGGGTTTTATATAATTTAGTAAACTGTATTGATTGATTGATTTGAATCGAAATAGTACAATTTAATGAGATAATGCAGGGCTTCATTGGCTCAAATGGTATTTTTCTCCGTGTTGTTTAACAAAGAAAAACGTGGAGTGTCCAGTAAACTCATGTGTGATTTTTCATGGCTATCAAGTTGTAAGCTATCAAAAGCACGTCAAATCTTGTCAGTTCCTGTCAGTTTAATGGCGGATTTGAACATACTCTGCGCGAAAGGTGATAAAATAGCAGGTTTTTTTGAGTTTCAGGTTGAAACTTGAAGGGTTTTTGCAGACGTAGTCTTTTTTTAGTGGTTTGTTATATTTTCTTTGTTGGGAACACGATTATAGCAGAGAAAACGCGTTTTTTTAATCAGAAGTTTTTGACGTTTGCTGTCATTGTGTGTGGGTCTCCTTGGCATACGCCAACTAACAACCTAAACTCGTGATTGGAAGAATCGATTTAAATAACTCGAATTATCTCGGAAAATATCTCGCATTATGAATAGGATAACAGGTAATCGTATCTAATGCAGTCTTCTCATTCGAAGTAAATACGAGCAATTTTTTCGAAAAACATTCTGTTTAGGAAAAAGAGTAGAAATACCAGCTTCTGAAAATGGCTTCTTATTTTTTTGCTTAATTCTTATTGCATCTGCGTTTGATATCAGTAATTTCCTACTTGACCTCTCGAGTTATTAATTCGAAATGTTTGCGTTGGAAAAATGTCTAGTTTCAAATTGTTCTCTGATGTTAAAATAAGAAAAATTCAACGTCAAAAGAGGTTTCAATTTCAAACATTTTTCAGGCTCGGAACGATCCGGGTTAATGACAAGATCAAACAGGAGTTTTTTAAAGAAAATAATTGAGTGATTTTTGTTTCGTTTACCGGCAGCAAAAGCCACAAACATCACGGGAAGATTATTGCGAAACATTTTTTCGATGCGAAACAATTCGAATTAATTTAACTCGAGAGGTGAAGTTAAATGATCCAGCACGAGAATTTTTTTAATGACAGAAACTCGGTTATTGCGCTTTAGCAAAAACTGAAAAACAAATCAATCATCAAAATGAAACAAAATAATTAAAATTTAAGAAAAACAGTAGAGAAAGCAAAATTTGATGCAAGGCAGACGCAAAAGTAAATATTTTCTGGAAGAAAATGATCGAATAATTCGGGTTATTTCATTCGATTCTTCCCATGTATGGACATTTACAGTGGATATTTTCTATACTTAAGTCTTCTGTTTTCTACGTATATAAATTGAAAGCTGATTTCGATTTTCTATGGTAATTACTGAAGAAAACTTCCATTTTTCTAAACCTCAGACAAGATCTTGCATTTTAGTTTGAAATCAGAACTTTTGCTCGACTTTTTCATAAAAAATCTGTCCTGATATCAAGCGACAAAAGACGTAAAAGCTGTATGAAAACTTTATCAATGTCAGTCTGTTAACTGTTCAAAACATTTTTCTTCTTCCGGATAAAAGCAATCGAATTTCTTTAACTGCATTAAGCTGCGGCAAAAAGAGAATTTATCCATGCCGAGCCCATAATGACCTGGATCTTATATAATTCAGTAAACTGTATTGATTGATTGTTTTGAATGGAAATTGAGTGGAATTTAATCTGGTTATTCATAGCTTGAATGATCGCACTTATAAAAAAATATATTTTTTATGTACTTGGGTTATTCCCTTGGGGACCTTTGAATAATTATTGACAAAGTTTCCCACTAAATAAAATGCCTGAAAATTTGACGAAGAGTCTTCCGACTTCATGAAAAAGTTTTAAGTCCGTATATTGATGTTGTGCTGACAAAGTTAGTCAAACTACAACTTCTACAGCGTCAGCTAATGTAAAAGTTTAAGAAATTTCAACAGTGATAAAGACGGAAATTAGATGGAAAATTGTCAGGCGCAGCTAGATTTACATCCGGCTTTATGGCTGAAATGAGATTACATTGCTTCCCTTGCAAGTTTAATTGGGTTTATCCCACTTTCCTTTCAATGTGCAAATATGGCCTTTGAGGCCGTTTTCCTGAGAGAAATTGCTTGATGGAGTTTTTACCAGCTCAAAATTTCTGATTAAAATAACAATAATGCGACGCTCGATGGGGCTGTAAAGTAGAATTGTGGTCTGTTTTCATGCAAAAGTTGCAGGTTTTTAGATTAGTCTTGCCAAATTACTAGATACTGAAGTATTTATTACTAATCGAGACTGGAACGCGTCTAGAGAAAAAAATGAAGAGGTGATTTGTAAATTGCAGGTTTTGGTAGAACCGGCCAAAATGAGATTGGCATAGACATCTTCTTCTAAACAGTCTTTTTTACGATAATCCGTGCTTGGAAATTTGAATCGCAGTTTTTTTGCAGGAACAGCGTTTGCAGTTTTATCTCAACAAGCGCCACTTTTCTGAATGTTTTTTTAAGCCAAAGTGTCCTCTAACTAGGGCGGTTATAAGCAAAAACATACAAGGAAAGCTTTTGTTGTTCTATAGGTTTCTTAAGGTTTTTATAGCAGAAAGACTGAGAGTTTGCTTTCCAAACATGGCTTATGGTAAAGACGACTGTTTAAAGTAATATTTTCCACATCCACAGTCCGTGCAAATTTTAACACTTTCAGCAGAAACCTCAAAAAAACTTTCTAGACGTACCCCGTTTCTGGTCTGAAATTCTCTCTCTGGTCAGAAGACACTTTGGAGTCAAAAAGTTTCCAAAATTGAGCGCAATTGACCAAAATGAGCTTGCATTGGAAAATCAGATTTTAAGCTGTCTATTTTGCGATATGCAATGTTTGAAACCCGCTAAAAACGTCGATTTTTAATGATTTTTTACGCCAAAGTTAATTCTGACCAGGAGAATTTTAATGAAAACGCATTTGATGTTCGGCAAGTTTTTGAGGTTTCTGTTAAACTGCCTAAGACTTAGTGAAAGACTTAGTGAAACCTTGTGTTCATGCAATGAGCAACACCCTGTAGAGCTATTGATTGGGTTGCTCAACAAAATAAACTTTACATGGCCAAATTTGCCCCAACTTTGCAACTGGATAAATTCGGATTGTTGTAATCGATTTGCTTTCTGTTTGAAGTTTTCTTTGGTCCAATTTTTTCAAAATTCAAATTTCAGCAAAAATTCGGTAGTTCACATAAAATTTATACCGGGTGGACATTGCATTAGGGCAACTGTATGCAAGTGTGGCGTTCTCCCAGGTGAACAAAAAATATTTTCGGGACGGATTTTTTTTAAATACACGTGATATCTGGAGACAATTTTTGATTTTTTTGGCTATCTTCTGAATTTACAGGGTGGTCTCAATTTTTTTTTCCATTTTGCGGATATAAGCTTTTCCTCCTGGATCGATTTTTCTCTGTGATACCGGCAGACGCACAATTAAAGTGAAATTTATCTTCAAACACTCGCTTATTTACGCCACTCTGTAAATTGAAATTTTTCTCCTAAGTTGTCTGCGAAACTTTAACTTCATCAAGATTTTTGATAATTGATCCAAGAGAAAGTATGTAATTACTGCAAGACCAAAAAGAATAATTTTTTGAGATCACCCTGTAAAAAAACGGACAAGTGAAAAATTCAGAAGATATGAGATCCACATTTACAACTTCGGTGTTGAAATCCGGAAAACCGGCGTTTTGTTCAACTAGGAGCAAGACTGAGTTTCAGACAATGTGCATTGCTTGGTTTTCCGCCCTGCAGAAACTTTACCTGAAGAACTTAATTTTTGGAAAAACACATACGCACAGCACAAGAATTAAGCTCAATAACGCTTCAAACAGAGTTCAAATCACTGTCGCCAATCAGAATTTATTTGCATGCAAAATTAGGCCAAATTTAGACGAAAAACGATGAATTTTTTAAGCATTCTCTCACCAGATCCAGTAGCTACAATTTACCCATTCCAACTAATTCTGTAGCTGTATAGAAAAAAACAATCAAACAAATAGCGTGTTGTTTGTACATCATTCTAGAGAGAAGTAAATGGCCTTTGTAGAAAGTGAACCATCGATAAGGAAATGCTGGCAGTTTTCTCAAAAAATGCTTGAATTCAAGAAGTTTTAGATTTGCATGGTTTTTTTTGAGTTGCAAAATCCACTTGAACATGACGCTGCTTTTTTTCGAGGTTTCTCAAGAACAATTTGAGCCACAGAATTCGTTTTGGCATCGTTGGATAGACAATTGAAAACTCGATTCAGTCGTAACAATGAGAGTTAGCAAATTCGAATAGTTTTGACCCAGAAAGCCAAATTTGAATATCACACACTTGGGTGCAAGATTATGCCAAAATTTCATGTTTTCCGTCCCATTTTTGCTCATTTCTCGGAGGCAAAATGAGCAAGAACGCTCATGTGTACATCATTCTAGA